AGGCTGTGGGAAAGAATCAGTGCCTGGAGGCACTTTTGGATGGATGAGGTCTCATAAGATGAAACTTAAGCCTGAAAAAATGCAGGTGCTACTGGTGGGTAGAAGGATTGGCCCAGGAATTTCAGTATCTCCTGGTCTGGAGGCACAGCACTCCCCCTACAGAAGCAAGTTTGTTGATTTGGGGTGTTCCTGGACCGAAGCCTCCTACTGGATAAGGAGGTGGCAGTGGTGGCTGGTGAGCAAGCTGAAGCTTTTACTGCAGTATACTCTACATGAGGCTGCTTTCGGAAAGGTACAGTTGGTACAGATCATTACAGCGAGAATGTTGACTGGAGTGGGTCATAGGAACCATATCACTGCAGTCTTGTTCCAACTACACTTTCCCAATTTGTTTCTGGGTCCAATCCAAGGTGCTGGTGGGATGGGGCCAGTATATCTTAAGAACCTCCTACTTCTAAATGAACCTACCTGTATGAACCTACCACTGAAGTCATCTTCAGGGCCCCTAATTCTGGTGTTCCAACGATCTGAGGCTAAATGGGTGCCGATCTGAGAAACTGGTACAAAAATTATGTAATTTCCTCCCCAGGGAAATTGGTCTGCTCCACTGCCTTCTGCTACTGTGTGAAGACTTGTTTTTTTGTTTAGTGTTCCCTCATTGACATTTCTTCCCCACATATGTATTTTTAAAGTTGTTTAAATGTTATTTTAATATTGTTTTAATGTTTTTGACTGTTTACTGCCTGGGGGAGCCTGTTAAGAACATAAGAACATTAAGAGAAGCCAATGTTGGATCAGGCCAATGGCCCATCTAGTCCAACACTCTGTCACACAGTGGCCAAAAATACCAGGTGCCATCAGGAGGTCGAGCAGTGGGGCCAGGACACTAGAAGCCCTCACACTATTGACCCTCCCCCAAGCACCAAAAATACAGTGCATCACTTGCCCCAGACTGAGAGTTCCTATCTATAAGAACATAAGAACATAAGAGAAGCCAATGTTGGATCAAGCCAAAGGCCCATCTAGTCTAGCACTCTGTGTCACACAGTGGCCAAAAATACCAGGTGCCATCAGAAGGTCCAGCAGTGGAGCCAGGGCACTAGAAGCCCTCACACTGTTGCCCCCCCAAGCACCAAGAAATACAGTGCATCACCTGTCCCAGCCTGTGAGTTCCTATCTATACCTTGTGGCTAATAGCACTGATGGACCTCTGCTCCATACGTTTATCCAATTCCCTCTTGAAGCTGTCCATGCTTGTAACCGCCACCACCTCCTATGGCAGTAAATTCCGTGTGTTAATCAATCTATACCTTGTGGCTAATAGCCACTGATGGATCTCTGCTCCATATGCTTATCTAATTCCTTCTTGAAGCTGTCTATGCTTGTAGCCGCCATCTCCTGTAGCCGCCGCCATCTCCCAAATCAACAAACTTCACTCTTTAGGTGAAGAAGTACTTCCTTTTATCTGTTGGGTGGAAAGGCAGCATAAAAATGTTTTACATAAATAAAATAAAATACATATGCCTTCTGTACATGGTTGGTTGAATATAAACCATTGTAGCTTCTTCCCCATTTGCCATTATTCCTTCTCACATTCATACATGCCCCATATTTCTCTCTCTCCCCACCTCCATTCTCTCTCTCCTACCCCACTGTATCTTCCCATTTCCATGTCTCCCCTAGCAAAAGTCACATACATACGGTGGCAGGCACCACAGATTGAAAACAGAGAGTAGCTGTTGAAAGGGAAGTTGCAATTGATTTTGAGTTAAATGGATATCAGTGTAGATGATGAGCTCTAGATTTTTAGCATACGGTCTAAATATAATATGGGCAATTAATAGTGAGCACTTGTGGTTTGCCAACTGAGCAACTGTTGCTGGTATTTTAAAATAAATCATTCTCCAATATCAAACTCAAAATAACAATAGCCAGAGGCATTAGAAGTTTGGCAGGAATTTCCCCTTGCAAATGTTAGTTCTCGCTTAATCTAATCTGCTCTTGGTCTTTGCTATGAACATCTGTGGCCACTCTTCAAATATATCCTGGAGAAATATTTATATAAAAACATAGAGATGGAATAAACTCCAAAACCTCTAGTCATGAGCATTTAGCAGCAAAGAAGCTGATGTACAACATTGCCTATGAAAATATGTTTCAAGCATGACCATGTGCTGCTGTCTTGCAGTGCTGAAATGGTTTTGTTATTTGAGTCTAGATTTATTTTGCCCTTTGCCAGCATAACAGAATATTGAATTGGGAAAGTGTGGATATAATGAGCTTCTGGAGATCTATAGTCCAACTTCAAAGTGTGTTCACAGAGGATATGGATGCCTACTTTGATTACAGTCTCTGTCACTAAGCGCCAAGAATATCTTGCACAAAATGCATTGTTTCTGTGTACTTTAAATTACATGTATTTTCCCAATGTACAGGGAAGTTGTTGTGTCCTTGCATTTTTTGGCCAAGCATGAAGTCTTTGATACTTGGCTACTAATATATTGGCATATCTGAATAGATATATGAATAGATGAACAGACGGATGTCTAAGCCAAAGACTTATATTCTATTTCCTAAACCTTTCCACTTTAAGTTGCAGCTAGAAGCAGAGATTCACATAATGTTCCTGTCATGGTTTTCATCATAGAATCAGATGCTTGGATCCTGCAATAAATTTCCACTGATGGAAGAGATTTCTGTTAGTGGAATAGGGCTTTCTTCTCCTGCTGCAGCCCCAAATGACATCCCTGAAACATTCTATCAAACTAAATGATACGTTTTGCCAGTCTGATCCTCCCACAGTGAGACATCAGCTGCTGGGAACTAAATTCCCAAGTGTGCTGGGGTCCTTTGACATGGGAGGAGGAGTGGCTCCGGCTCCAGCTCCCCCCCCCTTGCCATTTTCCCAATCCAAACAGCTTTTAGGGGCATTATTTGCCCCTGCAGGGGCTGCACATGCTATATAACACATAATACACATGTAATGTGTATGTCATTACTTTATGAGGCTGCCTAAACGCCTTTGTCTCTCTAAAACATACAGGTTTGGAGGGAAGGGGGTGTGAGCAAATGAAAGCATGACTTAAAGTAGAGGAAGTCTTCTTAGGATGGAAAAAGACTTCAAACTTTGCATAGTGGAGTGGTTAGGATACAGGCTACTATAGCTGCCTGTTATGTGCTAAAATGAATCTTTATGATTTTGATAAGGTAGTCTGGTATTATCGTGAGGTGTTACTCTTTTAAGCTTGTATAAATATTAGAATAGAGTGGTGGTGAGAGAGCCAGTTTGGTGTAGTGGTTAAGTGTGCAGACTCTAATCTGGGAGAAATGGGTTTGATTCCCCACTCCTGCACTTGCAGCTGCTGGATGACCTTGGGCAAGCCATAGTTCTGTCAGAGCTGTTCTTAAAAGAGCAGTTTCTGTCAAGAGTTCTCTCAGCCCCACCTACATCACAGGGTGTCTGTTTGGAGAGGGGAAGGGAAAGGAGTTTGTAAACCACTCTGAGACTCCAAGTGAAGGGTGGGGTATAAATCCAAGCTCTTCTTCTTCTTAAGTTAATGATACTTGAATGTAATGGCTTGCTTTCAATGTACAAATAATTGTTAATCTTGAAACCCTCTCATCAGTATTCTGAATGTTAATATGATATAAAAATGATGTTAAATAAAGCATTTAATTAAAAAATAATTTTGAGATTGGAAAGGTTGAATTTATACGTTTCAGCATGAACCTATGCATGTTTACTTAGAAGTAAGTCCCATTTCCCCCCAGTGGTGCTCTACAAAAGACTGAAGCTTCTGTGTTTTAACTTTTAAAAAGAATTTTCGTGATGGCTTTAAGTACCTGACATTTGTTATTTTTAAACTTGCATTTGGAGGAAAGGGGGGCTGTATTAGTTTCTACTGTCCTAAGCAGACTGCCACATCCACTGATGTGCATGGATCAGTTAGGAATTTTGTGGAGTGAACACACCCACTGAAATCATTCTGCCTCAAGTGTTGCCATTGAAAGATCATATTGCATTATGTCTCTGATTTTATATTCTAAAACTCTCTGTTGGATTGCCTATTTATCCCAAATGGCTAGAGAAGGAAAGAGCAATAAGATGTACCTTATACTTTTGCCAGGAAAATAGTTTCCTCTTAAAAGGCAAGAAAGGCATGCTAAGAAACAATCAGAATCAACTTGGGCCTGGCGGCAGTTGGATCGCAACTGACAAGGCAAAATGAACAGGCAGGCAGGCAGGCAGGCAAATTTCCTTAGCTGTCATTACCTAGTCCTGGAGCTCCTGGTGTCAGAATGGCTGAGTCTTGAGGCTGTGATGACTGAAGGAAAATATAATTATCCATGTGGATGAAATTAGCATTGTGTGTATTTCTATTTATTACATTTGCATCCTCCCCCCCAAAAAAAATGCTGTTCATAGGTGTTATTCTAATTTATCCTCATAACGGCCCTGTGAAATAGGTTAGGCCAAGTGATACACACTTGGCCAAGTTTCCCTGATACTATGCAATCACAGTGGCTTACCAATTTTTTGAGCATATTTAAGAATAATATTATTAATATTAATTAAATTAACAAACCAGAATAAAATACTTAACTGAAAATAAGAATTAAGCAACCTGAATGAAGACAAAGAGTTTGTTCAGTATAATAGCTATAGATCTGCTGTCTGGATTACCTAAAATACAGGGAAACTTTTAACGTTCCCTGCTGTGTCTGGGCAAAAGTATCTTGTTTGCATTCTGGGACTTCTCTAATTATTAAGCATGACAGTAATGTAGTACAGATAGGAAAGAGTAACCTAAGAGAGTGATCATATGGGGATTTCTCACCCCAACCTCATATTGGTGGCAGGCTCAGGACCATTTCATGTAGATTTTATCTAGTTAAAAAATGGCTAGGAAGAGAAAATAATCACGTTTTCCCTGTTTCTCTATCTTCCATTATTCTGCTGCTGCTGTTCTCTGAACTTTCTGCATTCCTCTCTTTCTCAGATTCTGAACAGCCATTTATCAATAAACCAGAAACTCTTCTTATCTACAATAAAGAGAATATCTGCGTCCCATGCCTAGTATCCATTCCAGACCTCAACATCACTTTGCTCTCGGTAAGAAACCTCCTGCGGAATGACTTAGGGCTCTGCCTTGTTTCAATCGTGCAAGTTTAAGGAGGGATACAGAAAATATCCTAGTGAATGGAAGACCAAAAAGGGCAAAATGAGAACCTGATAAAGCTATGAAAATCCTAAGTGATATTTCCCAGTGTACCATTTTTTTCTTCATTTTTGTCTCTGTTCTCTTTTGGACTGCAGTTTTTGGATTCCCTGTGGGTTATTCTGAATTCTCAATGGTTTTTCTAGAGGGATATATTACTATTATTCAGAATTTTCAGGGCAGGGTGAAACTTCTGGAGAGGAAAGGATCTTTTCTGTGCCAGGGAAATACATATTCCACTCTCTATGGGTTCTGTGTTTTGGCATATCAAGGTCAATTTATATAATTATCGTTACCATAACACTGTCCATGTCTGGATGTTGCACTGCCTTTCTGCAGGCTCTGAGGGCTATTTCACACATTGACCAAAATCACATGCGCATTATAAAGCATAGGAAGTTTAAAATACAATTGTAAATTAAGTTTCCTATTTGGCAATCAGTCAATTAAAAGCACAGTGCAATTGCCAGAAAGCTGATGGGTTGAAAACTGTTCACACACCTATAGTGGAAGAGAAACCTACAAGTGCTGAATGAAAAGTGGTCATTATTCAAAATGAGCTTCCTACTCAGGAACTGGTACACTCTGCCTCAGCATTTTCCTGCAGAGTGTACCCTATACCCTACCTTGGTTGCTTTTCCTGCCTGCCTCTCCCTTACACAAATGCTGGTTCAGCATCAAAACTTTCATCTGAGAAAAGCTTCATCTGAAAATGCTTTTGGATTTATGTAGGGAGGTGTCTGTGGAATCAGCCACACCAAAAACATCCATATGGTAGCCTCTAATATGCATCTGATGAAGAGAGCTGTGTTTCTCGAAAGCTTATGCTACAATAAAGTTTGTTAGTCTTAAATGTGCTACTGGGCTTTTTATTATTTTGCAGCAACAGACATTGGAACTGTTCAAAAGAGTTATTGATAGCTACTCTAGATGAAAGGACATGGTCTTTTGCACCATGATCTGGATAAATATATCTATATATATATAGACACAGTCCCCATGGAGAGCACTCCTACCGTGAGGTAGATGCTCACTAAGAAGGGATTTTTAGAAATTTGACACCTAAGTGGGTCAAAAGGGGCAAAATGTGCTCCACCCATTGATCCCTATGTGGCTGCCAGGCTGCTGTCTCCTTGCACCCCCCACTCTCTGATTGGTCAGCTGCAGAGCTCAGCATTCTGAGGTACAGGAGACTGCACAGAGCTAATGACAGTTGAGGAAATCAGGAATGGTCAACAA